ACCCTCCAGAATGGAGTCCTGCTCGGTCTGGGAAGTCTTGGTGCTGGGAAGATCTGTGTCCTGAGCACAGGAGCAGCCCCACGGGTTGGACATCCCCTTTCCACGAGCAGCTCGCCCACAGCAGGGTGTCCAGGATGGCATCCAGGTGGGTTTGGAATCTCTCCAGAGGAGAAGACTCCACAGCCTCTCTGGGCAGCTGCTCCAGGGCTTGGGCACGCTCTGGTCTCTCCCAAGACCTCCTGGTGCAAAGGAGGGTGGAGGGGGCTGAAACCCCAACGAGGGGGTGAGGATGGAGGGGGATGAGGATGGAGGGCAGCCTCCTAACTTCAGTGGAAGGGGAAGGGGCAGGGCGAGCTCATGGCTTTGAGCCACCAGAGGAACTGCAGGGGAGGGAGGTGTTTTGCAAACGCCAGCCCCAGAAGATCTGCTGGAGAACCTGGTGAGGCAGAGCCCACCACAGCACTGCTCTGCTGGCTCCTGTAAACACCAGCTGGGCTTGTTCTAGAAAGGAGGGAGAGGAAGCAGCTTTCTGGGTCACAAAGTCCCAGGCTCTGCTAATGCAGGTGACACGTCACCCTGGCTCTGTGCTGGCTGCCCCGTGGCTGCTCTGGGTCTCTTCTGCTCCCAGCCTGCCTCACGGATCACCCTGCAAGGGACCTCACCCGGGACTTGCTGAAGCTGGAGGTGCTGGGAGGGGAGAAAAAACCCCCTCCCAGATCCCCCCCAGCCCCGAGGGGCAGCACCCGCCGTGGGGAGGGAGGAGGAGGAGGAGGAGGTCAGGACGAAGCAGCTGAAGAAGCAGATTCTGGGCAAACTGGAGCAGCTCCAGCGCTCCCCGGGCGCGGGCTCTTGGCAGGACCTGCCCCGAAGGCAGGGGCTGCTCTGGAGGGGGTAGGAAGGGGAGGGGAGAGAGAGAGCACGTACCTGCAGCACGGAGCCAGAGCGTGCTGGGCTCTCCTGCCAGCCCAGCCTCCTGGACGAGCCACCTCCCTGCCAGGCATGGACTCAGCGGGCAGCCGGGGCCGGGAATTGGCTTAGGGACCTGCCCGGGGCCGTCGCTCTCCTCAGCTCGCCGAGCTCCTGGTTAATCTCAGCCCGGCTTTTCCCCCTCTGATCCCCTGGTACAACCTCCCTGGATTGCTTTTTGCCAACGAGGTCCATTGTTTTAAGCTGCGGGGCTCATTTCTAGGAAGGGCAGAGTCGTTTCCCTCGGCCCCCGGCGGGCTGACGCTGCGCAGAGCGGGACGATCCTGGCACGGGTCCTGCCCGCATCCAGCTCGCGTGCTGCCCCGCCGCAGCTCT